CAGACGAGAAGTATTTCGCCTGTCGCGTCAATTAGGTCAGACTAGGTGGGCACGACACCGCCAGCAGGCAGTAATTGCTACTCTTAACACAGGCTGCATAGTGCAAATAACTGACCTGCAAGAGCATCGTGCGTGAGTACACCATCCTCGGCGCGGTGTCGTGCCCAAATTGGAAGGTGGTCGGCGGTGCTTTATATCTGCCGGCGCTATCTTCAATCACCTTGGAAGTTGATCCCTGTAGCCAGATGGACCAGACGCTTTCGTCCAGAAGTGGCATCCGGCACGCTGGAACAATCCTTGGCGTAGACTGGTTGACAGGTGGATTCCACTCGAGAAAGGCAGACAAGACAGCACCGGTGATGGTAGCCTGCAAGAGCATCGTGCGTGAGCACGCCATTCTCGGTGCGGTGTCGTGCCGAGAATGGCGCTAATAATTCAATCGTGATGTCACACATCGCCAGACTCATTTCGATCCCCGTAGCACAAAGCTTAGGAGCGGCGGCCGCAGCCACAAATCCACGAACCACCGTGCCGCCAACGAGTCGGCGAGTCTTAAGCGAGCGACGTTGTTCAGCTCGAGCAACCAAACGCGCCACCAAACATGGCGCTGCACGCGGAGTGTCTGCCGCCAGCAAATTTTGAACAGAAGAGCGAGCGTACGCTTGGCCGCCGCCACGAACAGCACCGAGCTGTTTTAGAGCTAGCGGCGAAGAAATTGACGGTATGCGGCCCTTTTCCACAAACTCGAGCGAGTGCAGCGCGCAAACGCGAGTCCACCGCTGCGGCCAGCGGACGGCGCCGAGCTGTTTGCGACCAACTGACGGGAAAGTCAATTGTAATGGCGACCGATTTTCACTGAGTTTTGACGCGAGTGAAAGCCGCACCAGCCGGTGCTGGTGCACTTACAGCGCGCGACATACTACTACCAAGCTTATTACGAGAACCCGCAACGTGTTTTCGACGACTCCCAACACAGCGACGAGGTCTCAGCCCAATATCATCAGCCCGGAGCTCATCGCGGTGGCGAAGACAGGTGAGCACTCGATAAGCGAGCGTACGGGAGGCCGACGGCAATGGCGGCCAATTTCCAGCTGGTCGCAAAGCACAGGCGTACTGCAGACGCCCAAGCTCGACCGAGTCCATTGCCGGCAACACGACCAAGCTACACGACCGAGCCCATTGCCGGCAAGGGCGATCCGTATCGCACACGCGACAAGTAGAGTAGAATAAAGGATGATAACCTACTTCGAAAGAATCCAGCACTGATTTCTGCCATGAGTCGGACTGAAGTATATTTCTGGTAGGCCTGCCGTCTTCTCGGCCGCAATGTTGGCCTTCCCCACAGTTGCTGCCGTGGGTTGGTCGTGACTATCTTGAAGCCAGAGATATACAGCGCGGCGTGGTGACGTGTCGAAACTTGCTCCAGTTTTCATGGGTGCAGCGAAACGTAAAAGCAGCAGCCCACGCTGATCCAAGCGTACACACAAGCGCCACGTCCTAATTCCTAGATCTTCGAATCCAGGCGGCTGTGGTCGAGCACTCCGAGCACGACGCAACGCGAACCGTTGCCAGCCAAATACGGGGAAAGACTGAGCCAGGAGAGAAGGAGGATGAATAGTGACCTTGGCAACGCTCTGCGCGCTGCCTGCAATGCCCGGGCGGTTTATCCCTTTGGAGTGTGTTTGGAGACTAAGTGGTTTTCACGTGGCACGCTTCCCTCTGTGGTTCTTCCTCAACGGTCTATCCGTTCATCGCGTGCGCCTATTAGGCTCCGTTACTCTTTTTTCGGGTAATTTTGCTTTAGAGTATGAAGGCCCCGGTGTCGGGTTCTAAGGCTCCGGTGTCGGGTTCGATGTCGGGTCTTGCATGTGACACAAGTTAGTGTAGGGCGGCTGTCAGAACGATGTCCCAACCGGAAACAAACCGTGCAAACTTGTTTGTGGGGGTGATGCACGTAGCACCGGTATTCAGCGCCGTAATAGCGTATGTATAGTGGCACCTGCAGTCCTTGAAAGGTAACCAGAGCCGTGCTCGTTTTACCCATCATTCTTGCCTGTAGAACGGTGTGGCCAGGGGTGACGAGATGATCCATAAGTTTGGAAGGGCTTGTTTCCGGGTCGATGCCATAGATAATGTCATTACACGAAATGTCGGAAGCGGCACTGAAAAAGAACACGGGATAGGTATGCTCGCGCAGGTGGTGGTGCTGGACAGTGTAGAGGTTTAGGGCGATGTGCTCATGTGGTGTGCTTAAAACACCGAGGTTTTGTCCAGGACGCAAACGGAAAACCGGCTGGTGGACTTCGGCAAGAGGTAGACTTGCGGCAACTCCAATAGCCCGCGTATGTGTGGGGCGAGTCCGTTTGTCCAAGCGTAGGCCTCCCAGTGGGCGTAGGATGGCATTGTAGTCGTGAAGAGGCGTGGGTAGTGGCTGCGATCTCGTTGGCCTACGTTGATTGGTGCTGCCTTGAAGTTCACTTGTTTGAGTTCCTTGCTCGGCTGAGAGACCGGCAGATCGGCTTGTGTGCGTCGTTTCTTCGGCACCAGCACCCAAACAGAGCCATCGTCGTTGGAGGGGGATTTTGTGTCATCATTGGTGGGCGCAGGTGGAGTCGTGTCCATAGCTGCTACAGCAGCCGTTTTCACATCGTTCTCCGTAACTTTTCCTGGCTGGTCAAAGAAATTCTACGTGGCAAAATTGTACGCTCCTTCGGCGTGTGCGACAACAGGGAGGCTAAATAATTACGCAGACTTGCATAATAGGCAGGAACGCCAACAATAGTCTATCGGATCAGTGGTCATTGAAGAAGAAATGCTGCTCAAGGCAGGGAGGTTAACCAGAAATTGGGGCATCCAGTTTGACACCCTGCACTAAGAAAAAGGGGGATGGGGAAGGAAAATGAGAAAGAAAGCGAAGAGCGAAATAGACGGGTGAAAGAGGAAAAGTGAGCTGGGGTGCTATGCCCTAATCAATAGGCCACTACCACGCAAAAAGGTCATTAAGACCTTCACCTATTTTCTGTGCAAAGAGAGATAATGTCACCTTTCAAGCACTGAGTGTTCCGACAAGGGTCTGTCGTCAAGGCGAGCTAACGCAGCAGCTAGCTGCCATTTTTGCATGCTGTAATGAGGGCGGTGACAGAGAACGTGCTCTATCATTTCATCGCTGCCGCAACGATCGCAAGCAGCACTGTCTTCCATGCCGATTTGGAAGGCGAAAACTTTGGTGAAATTGACACAAAGCCACAGTCGGCATAGAACCGTTGTCTCAAGTCGAGGTAGTCCGGATGGACGCCGCAGTCGACGAGACGTGTCCAGTCTATGCAGTCGCGTGTGCCGTAAGCACTCAGCGTTCCACAGAGATTTTACTTCTTCATTAGCGATGTTTCGCATTTTAATTACAGCATCAGTCCTTGAGAATGAAATGGATTTTTGTTCACCATCTTCGTCTGCGGATCGAGCAGCTGCGTCGGCACTTTTGTCGCCCAATATGCCGCAGTGACTTGGAAGCCACTGAAACGTGATTATGTGTCCTTCGTCGAAGAGGTGGTGAAGCAGCTCTCTAATTTCCAGTACTAGTTGTTCACGAGTTCCCCGGCGTAAGGTGAACACTAAATATTATAGTGCTGCCTTGGAGTCCGTGAACATGCTCTATTGCTTGGCTTCTTGGTGATTAATGACTCTAACTGCACTACGTATAGCAGCAAATTCCACAGCTGTCGATGACGTCTGGAGGGATAACCGAATCTTCTTCGTTGTACACGTTGCGGAAAAGATCACCGACCCTGCAGACCCATCCACTTTAGTTGAAACGTCAGTATATAGATGGGTATGCTTGCTGTACTTATCATACAACAAGATAAGAGAAAGCTGCTTTAGAGCTGGAGACGAGAATCGTATGTCTGGAAGAGTGAGTTGTACCTGTGGATGAGTCATACACCATGGGGCAGTTGCAATTCTGGGTGGAGTTTTATATCCCGTGGGTATGCGCGTACTGTAGGACAAGGCTGTCTGGCAAATTGAGGCATGAGGTCGGTCTTGTGGCAGTGAGGCTAGATGATTGGCAGGGGTGCGAGTAAGATGACTCAGGTGTGCTCTGAGCACTTCCATTACGATATGCGTCTTGAGGGGATTGTCGTTTGGAGTACCAATTGTCTCAGCTGTTGACGAACATCGCGGTAGCCCCACACAAACTCGGAGAGCCACAGCCTGGATGCCTTCGAGAGTGCGAATGCTGGTTTGCATAACATTAATTCCCCGCTGTCCGTTATTTAGCCGTGAAATACATGTCTACTTTATGACAGTGGCCACTTACGCATTCTCTGGCTAAATACGCATTGTCTAACTGAACTGATTGAACCAATTACTCAAGAATACGCTCATGAAGTTGCTTGGATATGCAACTCACTGATTTGGCAATGTGCGTCCACCTTATAATTTTTTTTCGATGAGTTGGTCGAAGCCGTATACTGTTTGCCGTGGTAGGGCAATACTTGAGGTGTTCGGCTGCCGACCAGAAGGTAACGGGTTCGATCCCACCCGTGGCGGTCTTTTTTTTGAAGAAGCCGAAATGCTAGAGGTCCATGTGTTGTGACATCTCAGTGCACGTTGAAGAATGCAGGATGTCGAAATTTCCGGAGCCCTCCAATACAGCGCCTCTCAGAGTGATACCGTGGTTTTGAGATGTAAAATTCAAATGACTATTCTTACAAAGTTATATAGGCAACAACAGCTGCCTCTTTTCTACTGTAGTGGTCGTTCGACCCATGAAATCTTACCTGTAGATATGCGTCTCGGGAGTACTCGTTGAAAAAGCGACACCACCATACAGGAAAATGAGACAAAAATTAAGAAAAGCAGTGTGTCAGACTGAGCACCTTTTACGAATTAAATGCCTTCGTGAGTCCAGTTAGGAGATTACGTGAAAACTCATACAACATGAAACGACAAGATGCTCTGAGCGAAAAAATAAGAGAACTGCTTTATTTCGTGAGCACTCGCCGCCATACAAGGGATATCTTCCTTTTAGCATTTTCGTGCTTTTCGTGCTTGGAGAGGCTTTGGCCAAAACGTCACCAAAATTTCTTATTAAACGAAATTAAGCTGCCCATAATGCTCATGAAAGAGCGCTGTGGTTCATTACGCTCCGTTATACAACCTCAGATGGTTGTCCTCGCCTTATGCGCCTTTAAGCACGGTATCCCGCGGAACTGTACACCTGGCTGTTAGGAGAGGTGTAGCCGTAGCTGTATCCGAACGGTGTGCGTTGCTCGTATGGACTGTACGCGCCCCCGTACGGCGCTCCGTAGTACCCTCGACTGGACATGTACTGGTTGTAACGGTCATCGAAGAGGCCGCTTCTGTAGGCACCGTAAGGACTGTATGCACCTCCGTAGTGGGAACGTCCGTAGCGACTATCGCTGTACCCGTAGCGACCATCGGCGTATCCGTAGCGACCATCGGCGTATCCGTAGCGACCATCGGCGTAACCCGCGTATCCCGCGGGTGAACCATACGCTCCGTATCTCCTGTAGTCAGAGTAGCCACCGTAGGTGGTTCCACTGTACAGCCGGTTGTAGCCGGCCGCGTAGCCTGTTGAGTATCCCGGAGCATATCCGTATGCTGATCGGTACGGGGCCACGTAGCGACCACCAGAGTAGCCGCCATAGTAGCCGTCTCTGCCGTAGTACTGATCACCGTAGCCTCGGCGAGCATTGTAGCCGCGGCTGTAGTAATCGCCGCTGGCATAAGCTCCGGTGTTGTAAAGGGCTGGGTTGTACACTCCGGCACTGTAGCCTGCGCGTTCGGCGGCCACCACAGTGAGCACGGCTGTCAGCGCCAAGAGTGCCTGCGAATGGGAACGTGCAGACAGACAAGGGGTTTCAATCAGCGTCGTTTCTGAACTTAGTGTGGTTTTCACGTATTAAGGGCAGACCAGTGCAAATGACTGAATGAATGTTGCTTTAACGTAGAATGCAGACTCCTGTAAACAGCTTGGTGGCAAGAGATATCACTCACTGTTGGCAATGATTGTCACATAATCATTAAAGCAATCACTGTCACCATGATATACGTGGTACAAATCAAATTCCTGTGAATAAATCATTTATTACATGGAGAATAAGATGATAAGCATGACATCTATCTATCTATCTATCTATCTATCTATCTATCTATCTATCTATCTATCTATCTATCTATCTATCTATCTATCTATCTATCTATCTATCTATCTATCTATCTATCTATCTATCTATCTATCTATCTATCTATCTATCTATCTATCTATCTATCTATCTATCTATCTATCTATCTATCTATCTATCTATCTATCTATCTATCTATCTATCTATCTATCTATCTATCTATCTATCTATCTATCTATCTATCTATCTATCTATCTATCTATCTATCTATCTATCTATCTATCTGTCTGTCTGTCTGTCTGTCTGTCTGTCTGTCTGTCTGTCTGTCTGTCTGTCTGTCTGTCTGTCTGTCTGTCTGTCTGTCTGTCTGTCTGTCTGTCTGTCTGTCTGTCTGTCTGTCTGTCTGTCTGTCTGTCTGTCTGTCTGTCTGTCTGTCTGTCTGTCTGTCTGTCTGTCTGTCTGTCTGTCTGTCTGTCTGTCTGTCTGTCTGTCTGTCTGTCTGTCTGTCTGTCGTCTGTCTGTCTGTCTGTCTGTCTGTCTGTCTGTCTGTCTGTCTGTCTGTCTGTCTGTCTGTCTGTCTGTCTGTCTGTCTGTCTGTCTGTCTGTCTGTCAAACAACAAATTCCTAAAAAATTTAAGCCGGCACCGCTTAGGTCTTCCTAAATTCTTTGAAACCTTGCTCTTCGACGATCGTTTTTTTTGTAAGCTCAGAATTATGATGCTATAAAGCTACTACTACTACTACTACTACTACTACTACTACTACTACTGCTACTACTACTACTACTACTACTACTACTACTACTACTACTGTCACTACTACTAATAGCAGACTAACAATATTAGGAATAATAAATGCCTCTTAGAAGTGCACACGAACCAAAAGCATTAGAAGTAAGATATACTACACAGCCCACTTCACCGGCAGCCTGGGAAAATTAATTTTCACGTTTAAGGACAAGCCATCTGGTCAGAAGGGTACGTACGTAGGTACATACGAGTCTTAACATCTTGCGGGGACTGTGGAAATAAACCTACCGGCGAGAACTGTAATGTGAAGGGACGAGTGCAGCAACAAGAGCGTGACTTCGGAAAACGGCACTTGACTTCAAGTGCACTCGCTGAATACGCAGAAAGCTACTGTGATTTCACGGTTACCACGGCTGAGGAAAACATGTTCACTCGCTGAAGCGTCTTGACTCTGAGTGGATTTAAACCAGGGAATCGACATCAAACGAAAATGAGGGGGCCCTTCAGAGGATGCATGACCACTGCATGCTATAGCGTAACCTGCGCAGGCGCACTTGAAGCCTATTGGCCCCACTTTTTGAAGCTGAGTTAATCCTGGCTTCACAAATATTCGCCATAAAAAGACGGCTGTGAGGAAGTACGAAGCTCAATACCTTCTGGGAAGATAATTTATTTTGATATTTAATTCAATTTTTGCGCGGCGCACATGCTGTCCTTATAATGTTAGGCTACAGTGTCAATTCTGGTGACTTCACGCACTGTTCTGGTGACATTACGCGGCGATACACTCAAAATGGCCGCTTGTGCATCACCAACAGCGGCACGGAGCGAAGCGGCTGTGTAAACGTCACGATATCTTGCACGGGCATCTGTAAAAAAGCTCATACCATGTAATTACGACAAACCGGAATGCGCTTTACAAAAGATAGTTATATTTTCAAAGAGCACTCACGTTTACCAAAACATTTGCTAAGCTGATGATAACTCGGTTTTTCATTTAACTAAAAAAATTAATGCATTACCACAAAAACTAGGATTTTTTTTTCGTGCCAGCACCTTCTTAAATTTTAACAATCAGTTTTTAATCACTCAGTATTGTTGTAGTCAATGTTTTCGATGGGAAACGACATTAAATTTTGGCAATATTGAGTGGCCGCTTCGTTTTGCGTTTTTTGCGACCGTCAGACACAAAAAAATGTAGTAAATTTCTCGTCATCGCAGTAAACACCTTTTCAGCTTGATGCGAGAGCATTGACAAAAAGAATTAGACAGAATGGAGCCTCTCACGACACAAAGAGATGAATGAGGAATACCACCATCGCAGTTTTTGCCTCTGCTGAAATGAAGCATCCTGCTATCTACAGTACGTCAAGAATGCGCCGTATATGCCTGTTTTTGCTCTATTCAAGCGTGAATTGATCAGTAGGCGAAGAAAAACAAGCATAAAGAACATACATTATGAGACACAGCTATAGGAATGCCTTGCGCCATCACCCGAATATTAAAAGTGAAATTGAAATCGCATGCTCACTGGTGGAAGCCTGACGAGAACGTCTCGGATTTCTAGCATAGCAATTGCGCATTCTTTGTCATTCCAGATTCCTCTCGTAGAGAGTCGCTGGCTTCCTCTACGAATTATATTATTACGCAAAAGATTGAACGGTTACATAAGACCTTAAACGGTCTGGACGAACCGTTTAAGCTTAAACGCGAGCGCGCAGCCCCGAAAGTGAGCCGACACGTCTGCGTAAGATACATGACCGCTGTATAGAACCTGTAATTAAGAACACGAGAATTCGGGAAAAAAGTTCCGGTAGTGTTGCGGCAATCATGCAACTTGCAGATGCGCTAAATGTTTGATTAAGCAACGATGACTTCAGAGGAAGCCATTGAAATATAAAAGCTTTCCCAAAGGCGTTAACAGGTTGCGGGCGAACTGCTGTTCCGATAACACCTACGCTATGAACACGCCTTCAGCTTGTATAATTGACTTGACGGCATGTACAAAAGCGGGTTAACGATGTGGCACAGACACGGCGATACTTTGAACTAAAGGGTCATGATGTGTGCAACCTGGCCGTGGAAGTTGGCAGGCCCCTCCGTTGCTTGCGCAAGCTGCCTGATGGGATTATAGATGATATCATAATGCTGCTATACCTTATACCAATGTGCGAAACGCCATACATTTTGGTTATTTCATCACGGAACCTGATTTACAGCTGCCATCACTGACAATCGAGCCATGCCACTCCACGTAGCATACTTTTGGTGGACAGACTCTGACGTCTGGACATAGTGCGTCTTTTGATGTTTCATGCAGGAGAAATGCTACTATTAAACATTTTGAATCATATTTTTACCATGGAAATGTACTACCTTCTCGGAATTCAAAAAGGTGGGGACGCCAAAGTCGATGTTTGCAGTGGTTATCGGTTGGCCAGGACTGTGATCCTTTTCCATGATCTGGGTAAAAACTAAATGACTTGTCTTTGAATAGCTGAGGTAATTACAGCTAGGCGGCAGAGACGGTGAGTAAAATGTCTTCCAACACAGCAGGAGGTTCTGTCAGAATCTTGATTTCTTTTGCAACACATCAATGAAGCGAGACCTCATTTCACAACCGTCATACCACTCATCGCACATTGATCATCAGCATAAGGTTGCCATTCCGTTTTGCCGCACCAAATTCTTTTCAGCAGCCTTTTTACCGAAAACAGCCGCCGATTGGAACCACCTTCCCTCTTCCGTTGTATCAATAACAGACTCTTTGTTATTCAAGACTGCAATTTCTCAGCAATGCTTGTAACTATACGCAGTTTCCATTATCTATCTTTGTCTTGTATGTGCTTGAATTCTTATACATTTTTAGTTGACTTATGTTGCCTTCCTGATTTGCGCATCTGACACTTGTTTCTTTATTTTGTCTTTTTTTCTTGTGTGTTATATATGTTGTACCCACCCCCTCTGTAATGCCCTACGGGCCCTGAGGGTATTCTAATAAATAAATAAAAAGCCCCGTCCGTAAATGCATTTCCTGTCAATCAGCCAGAGCAGAGCGGTCCACGTTGTGTTGTTTAAGGACATCGCTTGAAAATCTTGGCGGGTATGACGTTACAATTTCATTTGCAATTCCGCTCATTTGCTCTCTTTGCATACGAGTGGCGTTCCACCGAATGATAACCATGGTTGGTCGTTTAGTGGTAGATATGAAAGTTATGAAACAGGTGTGAAGAAATACTCATATCAGTTAATAACAGAGCCTGCTTAGCCAATTTTTTTATCCTTCAAAAGTAGCACAAACACTGATACTTCACACTGATACTGATTATTCACACACTTCACACTGATACTGAGCACAAACACTGATACTGATTATTCCTATTTCAGTTCATTAAATGAAAGAAAAAGGATACAGAAGCAAAATGCGTTTCATACTCCTCCTTAAGGCCTATATGTTTGTGAAGTTCGTCACAGATACGCATTTTTCTTTGCAGATACAATCAAGAACAAAACTTTAACATGTCGAATATTTCCTTGAAGGGCCAGTTGGGCCAGCGCTTGTGTCGTGTGTTCTTTTCCGCTCCGTTTTTTTTGCGCTGTTCCCGTCAGCATTTAACATGTCATATACCACATGCGCGGTAGCAAAAAAAAATACAAAAATAAAAAATAAACAACACATAGTACACTTAACATAGTACAGACACACAAGTCTTACACATAAAAGAGAGAAAAGAAGAAAACAAATGCATGAATAAAACTGGATGCACTATAGTATACTACAATGAAACAGCATACATTTAGAACACCAATGAATATGTGACGACCCATTTCTACGTATACTCTTTTTAAACAATATTGATTATTGAAGTCACTTTTTTTTGGTCAACATTTTTTACCTTTTGTTTTTTATATGTCCCTAGACTGACTTCAAACTGTTAGCCATTTTGGAATTCACTAACCATTCGCGTTAATTGGTAATGCAGTGTTTCTTTTCTATAATTTTTCCTGGTTCTTGGTAAAAGCTGTAAGTTTCTTCTACGGAGACAACGTTGGTCATTATCTTTTTTGCTTATACCACTTGATTTTGTGTACCTCTTGAAGCAGTAATTATAATATATTTGGTTGCCCTTTAACATTCCATCTTTACGAAAGAGCACTGAAATGCGCAAATGCTCTATTCTATTGTGGTAATTTTCATAACAGCGAAGTATTTTATTTTTAGCACCATAAGTTTGTTATAATTCTCGTTGTTGTCGTACTCTATACCAGTACGCCATTACAATGTCTCGAATGGACTAGAACATTCTACAATTTTTCTTCAGCCACTGAGGAATGAGGGAACCAGTTCTAAACAGCCATCTTACCGTTCCTGCAAGTTGTTCAACTAAATGATTAACGTGGACGTTCGACGTTAAGACTTCATTGAATCATACGCCAAAACTTTCATTGTGTTTTCCTCGTTTTATGGTGTTCGCGTCGAAGCTTATCTTTATGTCATATTTAACATGTTTATTTATTGGGATACATATAGTTTAAGTCGTCTTCTTGGCATTTAACTGTAGCTTGTTTTGTTTAAGCAAGTATAAGAATGAGGTCATACACTCATTTATGTTTTTTCTGCATCTGATGAAAAAAATTTGTTTGTGTTGGCTACATACATAATAACGTGCGGTGAGGCAGGTATACGTACAATACAATATCAATAAGATAAGGAAAAAAGAGCAACGACCCCATTATAGAACTCTAAGCTACTTTTTGGGTCAACTGAAGCTGACTTCATGTAGTTATACACAGTTGTACAAGTTTGTACTGGTTATGCAAATAGTTTTATAAATATTTAAGAGTGGTCCCACGTATGCCGTGATAGTTTCTATGATAGTTTTTATATTGATATGCCATAATGCATTGAATCAAAGGATTTTTGAAGTTCAAAGTTAAACCAAGTGTAAACTTCTTATTTTTCATACTTGGAATTTTTTTATTTTCATAAATCGTGAACGCTTGTTCAGCAGGCCTATTTTTCTGAAAACAATATGGACATGTAGGAATGACGTCATACTTATTGCAAAAGTATAAAAACCTGTCGTGAATAACGCCTTCGAAAACCTTCGATACTGTCGAAGGTACTGAAATGGATATATATTTTGATAAATAATTAATGCCCCTTCCTTTTTAGATTGAGGTAACTCTTGCAACTTTTAACTGCGCCGGAAACACGCCTGTTAAGAGTACAGGATTTATTATGTAAACAAGCACCTCTGATATTAGCGGATATATAAACTTTAGTTCTGCTGCGGTGATTTCAGAGTGGGTTAAAAAGCACGCCGAAGTCTGTCATGAGCAATAAAGACTGAGATATCGAAGCGAGGAAACACATGTAAGGTAAAAGTAAGAAATGAAGTAAACATAGCGAGAAAAAGGTCTGAAAATTATGTAGCAAAAAGTACGGCTTTCACCTTGATGTTCATGGTGTCAACTCCGCTGGGTCTCCCCTTGTCCGAAGACGGTCTTGCACAATGGAGGCGGACACCAAGACGGTGACTTATGGTTCCGAACGCCCCGGATTCGAGGTTTTTATGTGGCGCCACATAACGTGGCGTGTCCGGGCCGCATAACACCCTCACCCAGCGCGCCCACCTGGACGACGGTGAGAGTACACGATTTTCGAGCGTGCACCGTCTGCCCATCTGCGGATCAGCGCTGTGCTGATGAAAGGAGGCGGGCGAGGATAGCGGGGGTGAGGACGCTCTTTGTCTAGGTTCAATGGAACGAGTTGCCGTTGTTTTCTTCACGGCTCTCTTCGTATGCGCTTATTAGTTCACGGGATCGGTACCTCGCAATCTCTCAAAAGTGAACGGGACGTGTCAGTAGTGTTATATATGCATGCATATGGCGTACGCATTCCAAGTGGTTCGGTTTTCCTCGCAAGTACTCTCGCCAATTTTTTTACTGATTGCCCCGGATCTGATAGACAACACGTATTAGCAATGAGGCGCGTTTCAAATCTAAATAGTTTGTTTACGCTGGTAAGTTGCACACCATAAAGAAGCAGTAACACATCGCGCGGCATTGCGACGGTTTAAGAAAAGAAGGACAGTGCTTCGCGAAACGTCGCAGTATCGCAAGACCGCTTGCTGATGTGCCATGTATTGGCAGTTAGCTCAGGCTGTTCAAAGCCATGACAAAAAAAGATAATGCTCTCATATATAGCCTCATTACATGTGATCCCGAGTTCTCGGCTTCAGGGTCCACAGAGCTCCGAGCTGACGACTCACTTTAAGGAAGCCGGCCTTCTTCAGGATGTGTAATCATCTATTTAGCCTGGAAAACTTACTAAGTATAACACAAAACATACAAGCAAGAGACGTCACAAAAACACGTACTTCACACAATGCGAAATGTTGCGTTGATACCCTGATTTCCATGATTATAATTTCTTAGGTAGATTCAGCTGTGCTTCCCTTCTTTATAAGTCATAAGATAATGCGGTGATCATCTGCGTCGTACCGATCTCGATATAAAGGTAAAAAAATTATGCCGCACTGCCGGGTTGTTCCGTGCCCGTTTATTTGACATTCATGGTTAATAAAGCTTTCAGTTGAACGATGTGCACGCTCAGGTTTAAGAGACTACAAAATTCGAGATTGCAGGGTGCGATACACCTCCTATCGACAGCATACAAATTTACGTGCGAGATATTATTGTTGGGACCATAACCGAGGTTTCCATTGCAGTCTAAGTACTTGGGGCCTCCGTTTGTGTATTTTATACATAGTACTTAGGAAGTTATGAACTAGTAAACCTCATTCATCGATTTATGAACCAACAAATAGAACCGAGTGCGATATCTATAAATATCCGTAAGCGAGGTCCTTGCCACCAGATAAACTCAGTTCGAAAAATGTAACATTGTAAGTGCATCTAAAGTACCTCACTGTTGCCACCTGAAAATAGCCATTATCAGCCCGACTCTTGTATCTTCTTAGTGTTCTTAGCTGAAACAGACACTGCAAAATAAACGGTTCTGCTGACCTGCTCTGGTCAGCAGACGTCTTCCCGAGTCTTTCAGAGTGGTGTAGGGGCTAGGATGTATATCGCTTACGATGTTGACACGACGCGCACGAGCCCACGTATCGCTGTGGATAAGCCGGCCCAAAGGCAGCAGATCTTGATGTGGTCATTATACGGAGTTTAAATTTATCCACACAAATAGAAGTGCAAATTTTCCAGTGACAGAAACATACACATTTGATGTGGGATCCATCTGGACCTTGCTGCACATGATCCGTGTATCATTTTACCGTTCGCGGAACCCAGCAGAGACACAATAAGTTTATTAGTATTCATCTCCTCTTATATTCGCAGGCTTTTTGATGGGCTCCTGCTAAATTTACCACGTAGCATGGTAGGTTTAGCAAAGGCCATGTTGAGACTGCTGATTGGGAATTTTCTTGCTTTTCCCGTCTGACAGGCAGCTTGTTGGGTGGTAATAAATTGGCCCCGTATCTGCATGGTAATCTGCAAATGTCGTCGAAAGACGATTGTCTTGCGTGTGGAGAGAGTGAACAAAACATTCATTTGATGTTCGGCGCAAGAAAATAAATCGGTGAATGGTAGTCTGGTGGCGCTGCGTTAGAGTGCCTCGAGCGTGCAGCGGAGGCGAACGAGCGCATCAAGTCACGTCACACGTGAGGCATGAGCGCTATCTGGCAGTTTTCTTGTAAAACGAAACGCGCTGCTCTCAGACGGGCGTGCGTGCCCGTCTCAGATATTATAAGGTGTAGAAAGCAAGGCGACGGGTATAGGTGCCCCCACCGTTTCGTCTTAGCAAAGCGTTGGAAACACTCGCCTTTTCGTGCAAGCTTTGCATGGTCAGCGCCGCGTGATAAATCCTACGGTCCTTAGAATTACTTATGTATGCCTTTTCTAGTAAAAGACGCACATACAGAATATATTTGTGTTGTTATGGTGCCTCAGATATGCGCAATAATTTCTTTCTAATTGACAACCGCAGAGGTATGAACGCTGAAGCTTGAGCAACATTAGTGGGCGCTGCGGATGGGGTTGGTCGTTTGGCGCATCGACTGGTGCCGTTCAATGTACCCAGTACCGTTAAGGGTGGACAAACAGACGAATGTACAGACAGACAGACAGACAGACAGACAGACAGACAGACAGACAGACGGACCAAAATTTTTGCGTTGAAGATCCCCAAGAAAGACTATCGTCTTTAATAACACTCAACAGTTGAGCACAACGATTGGCGGCATGATGTTCTTGCGAAGCTTACTACAGGGCTATAGGGCTATAGGGCTATAGCTATAGCTATAGCTTACTACAGGGCTATAGCTTTACTACAGGGCTACAGGGCTATAGGGTTGAGCTATTGGCCTCGAGATCGAACAGAGTCGGCATCTAGCGGCGAGCGGACGAAACTCTGTGTTGTGAATGGCTCCTTGAGTCGTCTGCTAGCTACACTGTTTTCCCTTGTGACGAACGTCATGTGCATGCTCAGACGGCAGCTTATTTCATGGCCTTAGTTAATTATTAACGCTTGCACGTATGACTGCGCGATGTACGCAAGCACTTCACCTACCGAAGCTTTTATGCACTCTAACTACGTAGTTAGTGCACGGGTGTGTCGGTATGGTGGTTGGTGTAATAATCGTACCATTCATTCAGCAAAATAGTTTCATTGGGGCTTGTCACTTGGTGGTTAAAGGCATCACAAAGTGCTTATGGCGGCGTTCTAAACGAATAAAGTACCAAATCTTGAGGTCGGAAGATGGAATTCAAGTGGTACCATCGCTTGAAATTTTGGTGATTTCGACATCCTTGTGACAACACAAAGCACAAACTAACATCGAAAAAAGCCGGTATGTGGTAATAATGACATGTAACAATATACTTTAATAACAGTGCACGTATCTATTCAAACACAAAAGTAGAGTGCACGAAGTTCTACTTCAAATAATTACGCCGCAACACAGCCTCTCTTTTTTTTGTTCAAGTCACTGGAGCATCAAGTAACTACCTCATTGGCTCGGTTGTGAAACAAGCAGAAGACATGTTGTAGTACAAGCAGAAGACAAGCTAAGCACGTAAAAATGCAAAAAGCAGAAGACAAGCTAAGCACGTAAAAATGCAAAAGTAAACACAAAAATTGTGTACCCTAAAGCTTCTCCTTCACGAGTTGAACGCAATAGCGATATCTTGTTTCTAGTGCCTACTTTAAACATATAATGCATGAAACCTTTCCGAACTTGCTATGCACCACTACTAGCCTTACGAAATAAGTGCAGAAGCGTGTGTTGCTTTTGTGATGGGTGACTGGCTTTAAAGAACGAACCCATTAAGAAAATCACATGCTTTAACGCCCTTTGGTAATGGGCGCGTGTACCACGAATCATTGCTGCAATATTTGATGTTGCATCGTGAAGCATGTTTAAAGGAGGCGCGTGTGTTTCTAAAGCATGAAAGCTACTTTCACCGCATTTCCAAGCAGAGAAAGTTCTTTTCACTTTATTCCCAAGCAGAAGAGTATAGCCATGTGGTAAAACATCCACTTGCCCCGAAAACGTCTCAGGTTCGGTCCCCACTAGGATTTGGTCCCCCCTCTGACCCATTGCATCTTTCTTGATTTTTCAGTCGTGCATAATATAATAATTTTTCGCTCACAAGCAACGACGCTGATGCCGACACCGACGCCGAAATTTCTTTGAAACGAGCTGTTTAACGCTATTGCGTTGAAAAACAGAGCAATGAAAGTGCGGCTGTGACTGAAGGCCGGCTTTTCATTGGTTGGTAGATTGCGCTTCACTAGCACGTAATAGGGACGGTAGGCCGACTTTATGCACTAATGTGGCATTGGGATGAACAGGACGTGGCTGCAGAACCACAGTGACAGTCGGTCAAAGATTTCTTTCTTGAGCAGATTGTCATAAGACGTTCTTGTGTAGGAATACTTGTTGTTATGTCTGTTGACGAGCAGCTTGATCAGAGGCTTAGTCAAAGTGCTTATCAGTAGGTTTCTTCCTTCTAGTTCGTGATGAGTGGAACTCTGCAAATTGGTTCGTGCGGGCTCCCCTTCTTCTGCAGGGCGGCTTCTAAGCTTTCCATGAGTGCCTGGATGAGGTAGTACTTGGCTTCGGCCAATAACTATGGAATCTCTCTCGTGGATTTGGGTAGCGGCACCGAGCAGCCGTTTAGAAAATTCAGGATTGTGCCGAAGTGTTGCCCGCATCTGTCTATGAGTATCCCACCTTTGGAGTCGGTGAGCACATTCATATATAACCACTACGCTTGAGTGAACGTGCTTTATTCACCGACAATCAGCTTATACAGCTGTCTTAGAAGTGCTGCTGTGTACATTTGGATATGCACCACCGACCACCCTCAATAACGCGGCGACAGTGCTGGCATCTGTCTCTCAATCTCGCTGCGAATACGATAGCGAGGTTAGCCCACTGATTTGTCTGATGTTCGCGCATCTGAATTAAGACTACATTGTGCATCAATTTGCAACACTGTAAATCAGCTTCAAAAACTGGGGTGAAATCCAGTAATATGAATGAAAAAGAGCAATCAAGTGAATGAGATTATATACCTATACCTGTCTTTTTATCCATTACTGAAGCATCCTCATACACATAACAAATGCATGCACATATACCACATACAACTCTTATAAGAGAGAAACATTGGCGGGACAACGCGCAAACGTACAGTTAACGAAAGTCGTGGCCAGATAAACTATAAAATTTTCATGGATTGAGATATCATCATCAGCCTGACTACGCCACTGCAGGACAAAAGTCTCTCTGATGTTGCGCTTGAGAACTGGGTCTTGTGCTTACTGTTGCCACTTTATACCTGCAAATTTACTAATCTCATCCGCCCACCTAACTTTCTGTCTCCGCCTCACCCGCTTGCCTTCACTTGTAGTCCGGTCTGTGATCTTTAATGACCAGCGGTTATTTTGCGTTGGCGTTACGTGCCCTGCCCATAACCATTTCTTCTTTTTGATTTTGAATATGATGTTTCAACCTCCATTAAACAGATGAATGGCAAAAAGTTTGTAACAGTGCGCAAAAAAAAAACATTGCCACTTTGGTCTGCAAAGCTACGTAGTAAAGAGGCTACAGAAGATAATAAGTGCCCAAGAAAGTTAGTAACAGCTCCTTTTACTAACTCTATGATTCGGTTACAGTGGATCCACAGTGGATCCATACTGGACCACAGCCACCTTAATTATTCATAAAGAAAGCGACAGAATCCCAATAAAGCCGGATGTAAAGCAGGGAGACACGATCTCTCCAACGCTATTCACCACGTGTTTACAGGAGGTTTTCAGGACCCTAGATTGGGAAGACTTAGGAATGACAGTTTATGGAGAGTATCTTAGTAACCCGCGATAGGCTGATGACATTGCTGATGACATTGAGTAACTTAGGGGACGCATTACAGCTCATGATTAGTGAAGTGGACACGGAAAGCTGAAGAGTAGGTCCGAAGGTTAATATGCACAAAACCAAAATAATTCACATAATAATGTGCAACAGTCTAGGCAGGAAAAAAGAATTTGTGACACGTGGAGGGACGCTGAAAATTGTAAAGAAATATATATACTGTGAGCGCGACAAGCGAATGACTCTTTATTCTTTTTGTAATCATCATCACCTGTACATCTTCATCTAAAAATATCATCACCAGCGTGATTTAGCTCGAGCCCGGCCGAATAAACCGGTTCCTCACAAGTGGTGGACTGTGCTTTTCGTTCCCTCAAGTCCTTTCGCCCGTTCTCGCTGGAGCTCCGCTCGGGTCGTCGCATACAACCCTCTGCCATGGCGGCCCAAGAAAACCCTGGCCCATCCAACGTCGCCGTCTTACTGCAGCCACCGCCACCCGCTCCGCCCAACAACACTCGCCTGCGTGATCCACCTGTGTTTTCCGGTCTCCGAGGCGATGATGTCGAAGACTGGATCAAGAACTACGACCTCGTCAGCGATTTGAACAGGTGGGACAATCCACAGAAGTTGCGCAGCGTTCCATTTTACTTGTCCGATGTTGCGAAAACTTAGTTCTGGAACCACCACCCGGATCTTCCTGACTGGGACACTTTCGAGCAGCAAATTCGTCAGATATTTGGTGCCCCTGCAGTTCGCACTGAGGCAGCAAAAAAGAAACTCGCTCAACGCACGCAGCTGCCGGGTTAATCTTACACCTCTTATATTGAGGATGTCCTTGCACTGTGCAAGCGCGTTAACACCAGCATGTCTCAGAATGACCAAATACGCCACATTATTAAAGGCATTAACGCCGTCGCCTTTAACGCCCTCGCCACGCAAAATCTTGCCACCACCCAGGACGTGATAACCATCTGTCAGCGACTTGACGAGCTTCAGTCTCTTCGCCTTTGCTACGATGCCACCGACGTTCGTTTGCCTGCACCCCTCGACTTGCGTGCGCTTATTCGCGACATCGTTCGTGAAGAGCTGCATGGGCGCTGCTCTTCCTGTGCTGCGGAAGTTACTTTACCTCCTGAAAAAGATAGCTTGCGAGACCTGATTAAACAAGAGATCACCTCCGCATCGCGTGCGACGTGTTCCAAGAGTCCCTGCGTGCGCCAGAGGCGCACGTACGCCGAAGTTGCCGCACTCTCTGCCACACCCACCGTTTCTGTGCCTACGACAGCAGACCATACGCCTGTGGCTTCGTTATCACCGCCAGTGCGTGCACCACGTTACTACACACCTCAGCGCCCACCTCGACCAATCTGTTACTACTGCGGCTATCGAGGACATATCGCTCGGTTTTGTCGAAGGCGCCAACAAGACGAGCAACGCGGCTATGCTCCCGAAGAACATCGAAGCTTCCGTCCGACCATGAACTACTTACGGCCACCCTCCCGATCGTCCTATTACCGTTCACCGTCACCTACTTACCATACGGACATGCCTGGGAATTCCCGTACGTCTCGCCGCAGGTCGCCTTCGCCAGGTCGTCATTCAGTGTCGCCTCTACGGCCCGCCTCCCATTCCACGAACGCCCACGCGGAAAACTCCCCAACGCAGTTTTAGGAGGGGAAACTGCATCCCTTGGTCAGCTAACAATTCCTCCAGAGCGGCCATCGAATTTGATAGTAGTGTTTGTTGAAGGTGTACGTGTTGAGGCTCTTGTAGACACTGGCACTGCCGTTTCGATTATTCGTGCTGACTTTTGTTCCCGCCTTCGAAAAGTCACCACACCCTATGGCGGCCCACCTCTACGTGCGGCGACCAACGCTCTCATTCGTCCACTTGCACAGTGTACCGTTCGTGTCTGCATAGAAGGCATTCGTCATCACATTGTTTTCGCAGTATTTCGTGAGTGCACCCATGCTCTCATTCTTGGGTGGGATTTCTTGTCTTCTGCGTCCGCTTTCATATCATGTCATCAGCGCCTCCTGCATCTAAATGCCACTGACTCTTCTCCGCTTGAACAAGATGGACGCATCCGCCTTGTCACCAAGTCAGATTATGTCATCATCATCATCATCATCATCATCAGCCTGACTACGTCCACTGCAGGACAAAGGCCTCTCCCATGTTCCACCAGTTAACCCGGTCCTGTGCTTGCTGCTGCCAATTTATACCCGCAAACTTCTTAATCTCATCTGCCCATCTAACCTTCTGTCTCCCCCTAACCCGCTTCCCTTCTCTGGGAATCCAGTCAGTTACCCTTAATGACCAGCGGTTATCCTGTCTACGCGCTACATGCCCTGCCCATGACCATTTTTTCTTCTTGATTTCAGCTATGATATCGTTAACCCCCGTTTGTTCCCTAATCCATTCTGCTCTCTTCTTGTCTCTTAAGGTTACACCTACCATTTTTCTTTCCATTGCTCGCTGCGTCGTCCTCAATTTAAGCTGAACCCTCTTGGTGTGAGCATGCGTGCGTGCGACTGATGGGTCGTCCGATGAGATGTGCACGATGGTTGTATGATGTAAGGATCATGATTGAGGGAACTGTGAAAGAGCTTGTGGAAGAGAGAGACTGGTGATGCGGCGGCGCACGCGAAGATTAGTCACATCAATTACACATGTTAGGGATTATATACTTATATCAGTATGAAGAATGAATGAACCTGGTGGCACGATTTTGAACAGATTCTAGCCTGTTAATTAAGTATGCCTGGTGCAGGTTCCCAATGGGTGCTGCGTATTCTAGTTTGGATGTTTAAAAAATACACCACCTACTTTCCCTCCTGTTTGTAACTGCTTTCTTGTTGTATGGCTCATTCATAGGTTTTCAGGAACAGGCGTACACCTCTATTGTCCGCAACCCTTTCTGGTAGCCGTACGCGGTGACCGTCTGCTGGCTCCAAAGCTTTAAGCTCTTTCACTTGTTCGTGTCTGAAGTGGCCGCCCCTTTTGCAGCACACCGCTCAAACTTGAAGCTTTTTCTTTTTTTTCTTTTTTTCCCCACTCTCTGAGAACATTTTTGAATCGCTACCACTTGACTTGGAGTGAAGCGAGGACTGCACTCTTCTGCTTTACAGTATTTTGCTTTTCAGACAGCGATCATCAACAGGGACACGCGCCACCACCATGAGATGACCTCACCACTAACCCCTCTAAAACTAACACGCTAAGGATGACATGGCGCCTTTGAAAAAGATAGGTTCTCCTGTTGAAACGTCGGCCAGCTAGTCTGAGGCACTTCATCTATTCATCTTATGTTGGGGAACTGAAGAACAAGAGGAGAATACAAAAGAATGAACGCTTTTTGTTACTTTCTCTGCTGATAAAGCCGGCCCTTTTTTCACCTACAGGCTAGGGGTGAGGGAGATACCAGCTTTATGCACTGTCCTTTCTTTTCTACTTATCTCGTTTTCTTCCTTCACGTAGCAGTTTGCTTTCGACTTGCTTGGAGTCTTGGTGTCAGTAGATTTTTTATCATTTTGCTTTCCTTTGTTCGCCTGAATGCCCCCATCAAGACTCTAGTGGTTGTTGCGCAGAATTGCCGTCGCTGTGAGAGTTTGTCTTAACAGAAGAAGCGTGTTACACGGTTCGTATTAAGCAGATTTTTCTTCCATTGAGTCTATGGGAAACCAAAAAAAAACATTCCCGAGTTGTTCATCTTAAGCAAGAATTTGTTTTAGCAGAATTCATCTTAAAGGGAGTTTACTGTAATTCAAGTTTCGCGTTGTCTTGTTAAATTTTCTGTGACTCTGTAGTTAAACATGAAATTTTCAATAGCTTGGCCGTCATTATATAAAATGCATAAATAATAACAATATAGTGAAACTTTGTGCACAGCAAGTTCACCACCAGCAAGCCCATCCCTACAATCTTTGATTAATAAAAACTACAGACACTATTAAAGCCAAATCCAGGCCTCTTCAGCATGTATGAAAAAGCATGCATGTGATGAATTATATTCAGCCGCATAATCCCTTTTAACTCGTCACCGAGGGTGTTATTTTTTCAGTATTGTTCCTTAATGTTGTTTAACTAGGTACTGCACAGACCTCGAACGCTTCGGAAAATCGCTGCTACCACTGCTAACCGATTCGGTATGTATTACAGAAACTTGTAGAAAAGCCCGTTATTACTGCTAACTAACAGCTATCTTCATGGCTATTAAGCAAATGGAGGACAAGGGAACACTTCAACGTGAGAAGTTGTGACAAGCCAAGTGTCTTATCAGGTAGACAGCCTAATGCAAACTGATAAACTTGCATTGTAGCAGTGTGCGAAATGCATGCCTCAGCAATGGTTGTCTCTCAGTAACAGCCATTGAAGGCGAAGCTATTTCACGCTGCACATGCTGGAAGTCATTATGCTGCTGGAAATTAAACAAAGTAAAGAATAGCCTGAGTATAACTCGCAATGTTTGCGTAGAATCGATTGCATCATTGATTACTGTGCTGTCCCATGATGGGAATCGGTGCCGAGATTTTTGTGCACTTGTAGTAATTTTTAGTCGTTTCTTAACTTATTAATTGGGAAAGAAAGTACAACCCGCTTTTTGGAAAGTGAACCGCTTTTTGAATGTGATTGTTCTTCGAAACAACTGACAAAACCAGTCGCTCCTCCGAAAGTGACCATCTGAAAATGCCCTTTTTACTTCTAGGCACTTTGACGTCTGGACTAACTTTGACAAACAACTGATGCAAATATTTGGTTGGAACAACATACAATCACTTTCCAAACTGAATTGCAGGTGTACCTGCTTGCAGGTTTGCATCAGTGGTTAAACACTTGTTGGCCCTGAGAAATACAGTAAAGCCATGATGTAGGAAATTATCAGTTAGGTTTGCCTTTAATTTACAGTCATAGTATATATTCATTCGTAGCAGATGTATATTATTAGATGTGTACGATATTATTTATATAAACATATTCATTATATATGCCCTAAAGATGATATGTTTTGCCCCACCGTGATGGTCTAGTGGCCAAGGTACTCGGCTGCTGACCCGCAGGTACCGGGATTGAATTTCGGCTGTGGTGGCTGCATTTTCGATGGAGGCGATAATGCTGTAGGTCCGTGTGCTCAGATTTGGGTGCACATTAAGAACCCAAGGTGGTCAAAATTTCCAGAGCCTTCCACTACGACGTCTTTCATAACCATATGGTGGTTTTGGGACGTTAAACTCCACATATATATCAAAGATTATATGTTTATAGTGAACTTTAGGATCAAAAAAAAATTTTTCATCTCAGATGTGACTTCATAACAGTGAGGCTTGACCATACTGATCATCTCTCTTGAGTGAGCCTTGTTTCTGCTATGCTACATGCCTGGTACCTCCAGGTTGTGTATGGTGCACATGTTACTGCTGTAACGCAACCCTCATAACAGAAGCCTGGCAAGTGCAGAGCTTTCAAGAAAAGAGACTCAAGCTGTACAAATGATGCTTTAAGTGATGTAAATTGCATTCAAGGTTCATATCTTTAATATGTGACCACAATGCAACTTCGCATTCAGGGTTGTTCAAGTCAGAAATGTGTTCATGCAGGAAATCGACTTCAAGTCAGCATTGACCAGCTCGCTGGAGGAGTGGCACTATATCGCCGTCTTGTACATGAGTCGCTGCGTGGAGTCCTTTGCTGAGAACATTGCGGTTCTCCTGCAAGCGGTAGTAACACTGTCAAGTTTAGCCTTATGGGGATCCTGAAACGCTTTTCAAAGTTATCATATAATGACCTGTGCATTCGTTTATTGTCTCACTAATCAATTACGGCAGTAATTTCCCTAATTTATGAAGAATGAGCGGTGTTGCAGGGATTTGTCGTACGTTCTAAGCACTTTCTCTCTTTTCTAGCCCTGAACGTTTACTGTATTTACTCGCATAATTTGTGCACTCTTTTTTACGATTTTTCTCGGGGGTGCGCAAATTACGCGGAGATTTATTGAGCGCATACGAAATATTGTGTCGCAGTCCTAACGGGCGCAGTATATACATTAAAAAAGAAATAAATTGGTGCACAAACTAAGTGTAAATGATAATTTTTTAAAAATTAGCACATACTTTAACCAATCAGATTCGGTCACGCACAGTCTAGCAGCTTTAATCGAGTAGTCTGATTAGGAATCATCGTCGCGGCCGGTGCCACCACCATTCCAAAGCGCATCGTTCTCGGTTCCGTTGAGCGTGTTCTAACGCCCCATTTTCTTGAAGCTTTTTCAACAATGCTAGGAGAAACTAGGTTCCACGACCCAGGGATACCAGAGAAACTAAGCATCCACACACAATTGAAAAGGCTTCCTACAATGGCAGGAAACTTGCATTAGCAAGCGCGCACTCTTCTGTTTTCTTGCATACCGATCGCACCGGTTAGTCATCTCAAAGTACGTCCTCTTGAAGTGCTTTGCGTCAACATGCTTCCCGTTTTCTTCAAGGAAATTCGCAGCAGCGAGCTTCAATTTCGCCTTATATATAATTATCGTAACACATCACATGAAAACCATCAAAATGCGTCGGCCGGATGGCAAAACCTAAACTTCTGAAATCGACCAAGCGTACGTTGCAGCGCGGATGAAGAGAATGAGTGCAGCAGCTGGCGCGACAGTCCCTCGCATGCCTCGGATGCAGAAAGTCGACCATGCCTCGCGTGCATTCTCGCCATTATCGCAGTGTAATAGGGGGAGGCAAACTCACGAGGAGTCTCGGTGACCCTTCAACAGGTTTGTGTTCGGGTGTGGTTTTCTAAGGACCCTAGTTTGGGAGAAGTTCTCGGATGAAGGGACTTCGCACTCACAGCCTGTTGGACTGTGCTCGTCTGCTCGGTGAAGCGCGCACCCGGCCGAAGCATCGAAAAGTCCAAATGTGCGCGTGCCGGCTCGGGCGGGACAGGGAGCGCAAAATATGTGAGTGAATATTTTTTCTCAGCAGAGCTGGCAAAGTATTAGGGGTGCACAAATTATGCGAGGGCACAATGCGTAAATATGGTACTTTTGCTAAGCTTCTTTACTCAAAATATTTATGTTGATAGATTTTACATTGTTTTTTATTGTAAGATGAAGACAAATGCGAGATATCAAAATTCTGACTTTTTCTGTTTTTGCAGGCCTTAAACGAGGCTTCAGTCAAAGTGACAACGGAGAACTCGCGGGACAAAAGTGACGTCGAGAAGTGAGAAACTTTCTTGCCTTTATGCCTAAACCTTAACGGTGTGACACGTTCAGCTGAGGGGATTTTTGAGTAGTGTTCAAGTTTTTAAAGACTTACGTGTATGTGTAGATGCGGCACCAGTTTCAATGTTTCAATATATGCAGTTTGTATAAATTTTGGAATACAGGTTGCATGCTGCGCAAAGCAGTAATGCAGTTCTTTTACCGACAAACTTGATGCTTTTAGATAGCATGTGAGGGTTTACTTCAGCTGCCAGCACGTAAAAAGAGCTCGTGCTATGTGACGTCACCTGGCAAGAAAGAGTCTTCGACACTTGAAGTCAGATTATGTACTTCGGCCATACATCGAAGAAATTATAAGTGTTAATTGCACCGACATTGTGGATGGCGACGTACTAATTCTCCCTTATGGTCACACCCTACGTAGGAACATTGTGATCACACCGGGGCTTATTCGCTTCTTCGATGGGTGTACGTACCTAACCGCCATAAATCAAACGCCCGAGAGTGTACTGCTCCCCTGTGGCTCAACAGTATCTTGCGCGGTCGATAGTGAGCCTGTTGCGATTGTTACTCTTCCGAACAACAACCACAACGATGTTCCGAAGTCGCAATCATTGCCATTCAATGCCTCTGCCACACCTGTGTCCGCAACAATAAGCAATGACTTAACACCTGATCAAACTGAATATTTGCTCGCCCTGTTAAATAGACACCGTTCTCTATTTGACGTGAACTCGCCCGCCTTCAGCATGACTACCACCGCTACTCACAGCATCCAGACTGATGGCTCTCGTATTGTACATCGGCGTCCATATCGCGTGTCTCAGGCAGAACGCAAGATCATCGAGGAAAACTTCTCAGACATGCTACGACGCAACATAATACGTCCTTCCTCGAGTCCCTGGTCATCCCCAGTTGTTCTCGTTCAAAAGAAAGATGGGACAGTGCGTTTCTGCGTCGATTACCGTGCGCTAAACAAAATAACGCGCAAGGATGTTTATCCCCTCCCTCGGATCAACGATTCACTGGATTCATTACAGGGCGCAGAGTATTTTTCCAGCCTCAACCTTTGGTCAGGCTACTGGCAGATACCAATGTCAGAGTCTGACAAAGAGAAGACCGCCTTTTCAACGCCAGATGGGTTGTACGAGTTCAATGTGATGCCTTTTGGACTCAGTAATGCGCCCGCCACCTTCGAACGCATGATAGACGGCGTATTGCGTGGTTTGAAATGAAAAACATGTCTGTGCTATCTCGATGACATAGTAGTGTTTTCATCCACGTTCTCGCAGCATCTACAACGTCTTGACGAAGTCCTCACATGCCTTGCGAAAGACGGTCTACAGCTTAACACCAAGAAATGTACCTTTGCTAGCAAGACAATCAAGGTTCTCGGCCACCTTGTCAGCAAAGAAGGAATTCGGCCCGACCCCGAGAAGCTTGCTGCTGTCCTCGATTTTCCTCGTCCACTACGTCAAAAGGACCTGCGCAGCTTTCTTGGGTTATCTTCTTATTTGCGGCGCTTCATACGTGGTTTCACGGAACTTGCGTCTCCTCTCCATGAACTCCTCGCAAAGAACGTCCCCTTCATTTGGTCCGGAGACTGCGAAAGCGCTTTCATGGCATTGAAGCAAGCCCTCACGTCGGATCCGGTACTGTGACACTTCGATTCCACCGCACCCACCATCCTTCACACCGACGCAAGTAGTCATGGTCTTGGTGCGGTACTCTTGCAGCGTGACAAAACTCACGCGAACGCGTCGTTGCTTACGCAAGTCGTGCTCTTACCGCTCCAGAAAAGAACTACACTATCACCGAGCAGGAGTGCCTTGCTGTTGTTTGGGCAGTGCAAAGATTCCGACCATATCTTCACGGCCGTCATTTTACCGTCGTGACCGACCATAACGCCCTATGCTGGGATTCATCGCTGAAAAACTTATCGGGTCGCCTTGGTCGCTGGGCGCTTCGCTTGCAGGAGTATGATTTCGATGTCGCCTACAGATCTGGGAAAAAGCATCAAGATGCTGATGCTCTATCGCGCTGTCCTTTGCCCAGCGGAAGCAATTCACCATCGATACTCCAAAACGACAGCACCTCTCCAATCGCAGCGCTAAGTTCATCACCTGCCCCCTATCCGTCCCTGTTTCACAACAACGTGTCGACCCATACTGCCACACCACTGTTGACCGCTTGACCGGCTCTACTACTCCTCCAAACGCGAAACTCCGTCGACAACTTAAACAACTTAAGCTTGTTGGTGATGCTTTATGTCGCTACATTTACCACATCGATGGCAACAAGTGGGTACCCGTCATCCCACGTTCTCTGCAACGTGAAGTTCTGGAATCATCTAGGCTACCACAAGACTTACGACAAAATACGAAGTCGTTGTTTTTGGCCTGGCCTCTCTTCAGCCGTCGCTAAGTACGTCGCCTTTTGTGTCCATTGCCAACGGCGAAAACGATCAACAACTGCTCCGGTTGGCTTAATGCAACCTCTTCCTTGTCCCTCCTCGCCTTTTGAAGTCGTTGGAATCGACTTGTATGGTCCTCTTCCTATATCATCCAATGGGAATCGCTGGATTGTCACGGCCATCGACCACCTTACCCGCTACGCAGAAACAGCTTCTATACCATCTGGGACTGCCACTGAGATCGCCGATTTCTTTCTTCGCCACATCTTTTTGCGTCATGGAGCTCCACGCATTCTCCTCAGTGATCGTGGAAAAGTCTTTTTATCTTTCATTGTCGAGCAAGTTCTGCGTGCCTCGAACATTGTTCACAAGACCACTTCTAGCTACCACCCGCAGACCAACGAATTGACTGAACGGTTTCATCGGACCCTATCGGACATGATCTCCATGTACAGTTCGTGTGGTTCCAACCACACGAACTGGGATGCAATTCTGCCCTTCGTGACATTCGCCTATAATACGGCTGCTCAACGCACTACCGGCTTTTCTCCATTTTTTCTCGTCCATGGTCGCTCGCCGAGTTTTGCTCTGGATGTCTCTTTCCTTTCGGCGCCTGCACCCTCAACGGCTCCTTTCTCTGAAGAATTCCTATCTCGTCTCGCACACTGCCGTCACCAGGCCCGTGTTAACACCGGCTTCTCTCAAGACACTCGAAAATCTCGCTACGACTCGTCTCGCCGTGTTGTGAGTTTTTCCCCTGGTGACGAAGTTCTTCTAAGGACTCCATTACGCGTCCCCGGCCTATGTGACAAATTCATCAGTCGCTTCATTGGGCCATACACGGTGGTCGAACAGACATCTCCTGTCAATTACCGCGTTTCTTCTCTTAGCGCTAGCTCTGATCATCGTTGCCGAGGAACAGAGATAGTGCACGTATCTCGTTTAAAGCCTTATGCGCGACGCATTTCATTATACTGTCAAGCGACCAGGCGGCCGCTTTCTCCGCGCGGGGGAATTAGTGTGAGCGCGACAAGCGAATGACTCTTTATTCTCTTTGTAATCATCATTACCTGTACATCTTCTTCATCTAAAAATATCATCACCAGCGTGATTTAGCTCAAGCCTGGCCGAATAAACTGGTTCCTCACAATACTTTGGACAGGTAGTAACCGTGGAGCCGAACAATGAGAGTGAAATAACTGGAAGAATAAGATTGATTTGGATCACATTCGGCAAGCATTCTCAAATTATGAATGGTAATCTGCCACTGACCCTCAAGAGGTACGTATATAGCAGCTGAATCTTGCCAGTACTTACCTACGGAGCAGAAACCTGAAGGCTTACAAAAAGGGTTCAGCTTAAATTGAGACGGTGCAGTTGGCGATGGAAAGGAAAATGATAGGTGCAACCTTAAGACACAAGAAGAGAGCAGAGTGGGTCAGAGACAGAACCGGGATTCAGGATATCAAAGCGGAAACCAAGAAGAAGAAATAGACATGGGCCGGTCACTGTGACATAGCACGTAGGTAGGATGACTGCTGGTCCTTAAGGGCATCTGAATGAATTTATAGAGAAGGGAAGCGGGTGAGGGGGAGACAAAAATTAAGTACGCAGATGAGATTACGAAGTTCGCTGGTATAAACTGGTAGCAGCAAGCACGGAACCGAGTTGACTGGCGAAACGTGAGGGAGGCCCTTGCCGTGCAGTGGGCGCAGTCATGCTGATGATGACAGTGATGCTAACGATCTCCTTAACCCCCGTTTTTTCCTTGATACGCTCTGCTCTCTTCTTGTGCTTTAAGGTTACACCTATTATTTTTCTTTCCATTGCTCACTGTGTCGTCATCAACTTAAGTTGAACCCTCCCTGTAATCTTCCAGGTTTCTGCTCCATAGATGAGTACCGGTAACATGCAGCAGTCATATACCATCCTCTTGAGGGATAATGATCATCGACGAGTCATGGTATGAGAATGCTTGCCAATGTGCTCTACCCGATTCTTATTCAAGTTACTTCAATCTCGGGGTTCCGCTCCACGGTTACTATACCTGTCCTAAATAGACGTATTCTTACAATTTCAAGTGCGCTGGTTCCTACTTCGAAGCGCTGTTATATTCTTAGTTTGTTGCACATCACTTTTGTTGTCTGCAGATTACATTAGAACCTGCCTTTCGACTCTCCTTGTCTAGTTAAGTAAACATGAATTGCGATTCGTCCCCTGAGTTACTCAGCAATGCAATGACATCGATGAATTAATGACATGTGGTTAGTCGCTGGTCCGGACCAGACCGATGAGATGTAAAACGCAATACCTTGTCTCCTAGTAGCCTCCATGGCCTGCTAGATAGCCCAGGTTTGATCTTCTAAAACAATGCGGAGCAGCGTTGTACACCATCGCTTCCGGAGAGGATCTGAGGAGTCTGTTTGCTGCTTCAGACACCTCCATAGCATGTGGCTTAAGGATGCCGCTTCTATTTCACAGGCTCGACATATCAAGTCTGAGTACATTTATGGGAACATTCTTTGTAGCTGAGTAGGGTAGAGAAAAGATTTGGTTTGTAATTTGTGCCAATCTCTCACCTGTTTTA